CGCCCTTCCCCGGAACGAAGTGACGAATTTTGAAACAGACGCCGCACATTCTGGCCACAAACAAGTTGGTGTGCACAAGCGGCCAGCGAAGTCGAAAGACAAGCCCGGGAGACGCGTGGAACCCGCCACGAGAGGCGAATTCCGTTACTCCGGAGCCAGTGCTTCCTTGAGCGGCAGTGAGGCGGCGTGAAGAGCCCGGGGGCTCCGAGGAGCCCGGCAAGGAGGAAGCAACCGTTCCCGGGGGGGGGGGGTGCAGGTGGTTTTAACACAAAAGAAGGAGAGCCCGGCGTAATTCGTAGCAGGAAAAATCAAAGAGCGGTCGAGATCACTTTTCCTGCGTCGGCAAAGATCCAAAAGGTCGGGGACCCTCACGTGCTGGTTTTGTGAGAGGTGGGGCTTTACTCTCTGATGCCCAAGTGGGAATGTCTTCCAGAACTGAAAAGGCGCATCCCCGGGAACCTAGGGATCCTCACTGAGTCCGGATGGTGTCAGGTGGGGTGTGGTGTGCGGTTCTTCTGTGGGTTCTCGACTTTGCCACAGGAAAGAGTTTCCGAGCGAGTCAGTAGACAAGAGCGTGCCCCGAAACGTACACACGTTTTAAGACAGGAAAAACGGTATTAACGTTGTGAAACGACCTATACCGATACCCAAAGAGGAATACAAGTCGCCCTCGACGTCCGCGATCATCAGCGTGATTACCGTCGGCGCCCAGACGCTTATGATTGCGGTGCGCTGTAAGTGATGCGCAGATGGCGTCTCTTAAAATGTGTGGACTTATTTTTGGCATCCTAGGTTTAATAAAGATGAAGCTTTTTAGAAGGGAAAACCATGCTTGAGAGAGAGCACGGGTTTCTCACCTTAAGAGAAATGACATGTGCTTGCCTTTGACAAGAAGCTTTATATAGTTTTACAATAACTAAGCAAACCATGAGCTAAGAGGGGAGGCCTGCAGGTATCTGGTCATGAGTTTTCATTACCACCTCTGAACCTTTTAAGCCACAAGGACCTTCTAAGTAGTGAAATTATTGCCTAACTAGATCTGGGCCTTTTTAGAACATCATCAGGTCTGCATTTTGGGCAATTTCCTGTCATTTCTGTGATTTACTGTACTGGTTGTCCCAGCTTCCAAGCCGCTAGCTGGTCAGTTCAATGAAGACTGTGTACCAGTAAGAAAGGTGTCTGAGCTGGGCTCGGTGGCTCAGCCTGTAATCCTGCACCTTTGGGAGGCTGAGGTGAGT